CCCCAAAACCCCAAAACCCCAAAACCCCAAAACCCCGTATGAAACAAATATAATTGATATAGAGCAAATAAACATGCAGTTAATTTAAAATAATTTAATTCTTTTCGAAAAACAAACAAATATGAACCTAAATCTATTGATTCCACCAACAGCCTCTCCTAGACCTTAATCTAGAGGCGGTCCATCTAGAGGTTTCCCTGGATAAGGAGGTGGTGTTCCAATGTCTCGTGCTTCTAATGACCCTAACCAAATATTCAAAGAGAGATTCAGTAGCATCAATACAGCCAAGGCATAGATTGAAAAGCAAAGAGAATTTGATGCTGTGAAGGACAGACTATAGAAAGAGTTCGATGTTTTAGATATCAATAGAGATGGTCTAGTCACACTCGACGAGCTCCAGACCTTCCTAGACAATAAGGTAATCAGCAAGTTTGGCGAATTAACCCCAAGTATAGACCAAGGGAGGAAGATTTGATCCCTAGATAACAGAAGAAATATATGGCATGATCGATTTAAATAATGATGGCAGAGTCACTCTGTAAGCTCATCTTATTTCATACTTGTGTTTCATATTACATTAATAGAGAAGAGTTTGTCTCGAAATATCTAGAGACTAGAACTAGACTTAATGACAGAATAAATGAAGTCTATAAGAAAATTGCAGATCACAAGAGATAAAGAGATGACATGGCTTAAAAACTTAAGCAAGTCCAGGTAATTAAAATTCACATTTATCATCATGTCTATAATAGGGCTCAGAGCAATTGAATGAAAATGGTATCATGCATGGAAGCATTCTGACCGTGCACGTAGTTGAGGCTAGAGATCTCAAGCCAATGGACATGGACGACACTTCTGATCCTTATGTGATCCTTGAGATTGAAAATCAAAGAATAGAAACCAACTATAAAAAGCAGACAGTTGCACCAGTTTGGAATGAGTCCTTCACTTTCGATATTGTCAACGGCAGGGAAGCCTTGAAAGTAACTGTTATGAATAAAGGTACATTATACGAAGGAGAGTTTGAGGGTCAGTGCTATGTCAGTCTCAATGCTCTAAGAGATTAAATGAAGCACGACTTCTGGTTCGATCTCACAGATGAAAACGGTATTCAATCCTAGGGAAGAATTCGTTTAATGCTTCACTGGGTCTACTCCAGAGTCCAATACTTCTCTGAATATTTAATGAAGTGGGATGAAACTCTCGACAAAGACATCTAAGAAAAAGACCAAATAGAGCAATTCCTTAAACAACTTGAAAACCCATTCGGTTTCCTCGACACAATGAGGGAGGAGGCTTAGGAGACAGACGATGATGAGGAGGATGCTAGAAATGAAGGTACTGGTTAGAATGGAGCCCCAGGGGGTTCAGTGTTTTAAAACATGGTCAAGGAACAAGATAAAAAGATTAAGCAGCACGAGGAAAAGATCATTCAAAGCATTGATAACATTTCAGCTAATATCGCCTACAAACTTGGCTTTAATCACGTACCCTGGTTCACTCTCACCAAGATCGTGCTTGGAATTTACACAGTGCTTACATGCTTTGTGCTTTTCTTCAGAACTGACTTCATTAACTTAACAGTCTGCACCGCTGCCGCTTACATGATCTTAAATACTGATAAAATCAAGAAGTGGACATTCAGAACTCTGGTCTACGGAATTTTCCTGAGCTTGGCATATGACCTTACTTGGTTCCTATTCATTCAAGATTTCAGCGCTGACTAGTCGGACGGTGGAGTAGAAAAAGCTATCAAAAGCTTCTCATTATCAGTTTCATACATTTCCTTTTTCTTTAGAGTAATATTCTAATAGACTAAATCTATTTTAGATTATTGTAGCTATGGTCTTCTGGAAAGATTCAGTAGATTTCAACAGAATTATAGTCTAGCAAAGAGACTTTGTTGAGCCAAAGAATGGAGGGCAACTGTCAGCTTCCCCAGATAGAAAGAGAAGCGCTTCCAAGAAGGCAGCTGATGATGCAATAAATCAGTATAAGAACTAGAAGCAAGCACCACCCAATAATGGGGGAAATCAAAGAGGCCCTATTGGTCCTAATAGGTAAGTATCGACAGTTTAATAACTAAATGTAGGGGTGGAGGCAATGGCTTTGATATGGGAAGAAGATGATGAAATTCAATTTTGCAAATTACCTACTAATCCTATCTATATTTTCTTCAATATGTAACTTTTACATTTCAAAATTACTACCTAAATTGAGGTTACGGGGTTTTGGGGTTTTGGGGTTTTGGGG